AACTAAACAGAAGAGTTATTCTTTGTCTTCAGCAGAAGCAGTGAATCAGACCTCATTGCCTTGTACCGAACCCGATTTAAGGCAATTCGATGCCTTACGCATAATCATCGAGAAGCTTACAGTTGTACTTTTTGGTTTTGTTGGGTTTTTTTTGCTCTTTACTTGGCATTTCTTTATGCAACAGGGTACCTGAAGGTTTTATTTTATATTTAAGTGGAATGGGATAGGTCATATTTTCTGAAGCTGTATTTTCAGGCCTTCTGCATCCTTACCCATTTGTTATGTTCAGGTCAAATTTTTGTTTCTGTGGCAGCAAGGATTAAAGATGTAACTGCTTTTAAAGCAGATATTTTCAACTCTTCTTCGCCACATAACCTGAGGCTTTAGATGAACATTTTCGTGCCTCAGCCTTCACCTAGCCAGTGTTAACCAATTAAAAAAAAAAAAAATTAGCCAACAATAACCCTATTTACCAAAGCTTTCTTTTTTTTTTTTCCCCTGTCAGACTAAATCAAAATCAAATGACAGAAGAATTTCAGATTTAGAGACGCTTTTGGTTACAATGCCATAAAGACTGTGATCTATCTGTACCTCTGTCTAGACTGAGCTCGCATTGAGTAGGTAAGCATTACACAAAGTCAGTCACTTCCCTGTCCTGTGATGGTTTCTATGATCTGAAGGAAGAGGAAGAAGACTTGATGCACATCACAGAAATCACTTGGTGTGATTTTGTTTAAGTGATCTACATGACAGGAATCAATGTCTTTGTGCACAGTAGGTATGACAAATCAAAGCAACTCAGGACAAAATGCCTGTGTTGTACTGACAGACAAAAAGTGAACAATCTGTATCAAACTCAGTTTCTTCGCAAAAAATAAACTGAAACGTTACTTAAGAAACATTATGGAAATTTAAATAAACAAAAGCTTCGGTATTACAAGCTACCATACCATTTTTATAATTAAATCAGAAGTACTTTGCACTTTCACACAACATTAAGATGCCTATGAAAAGCACAATCTCACCTCTCCACACATGCATACTAGTGTTACTCTGGTCCACTGACTTCAGTGGAATAACATCTGATATACAATAAAGTAAAGCAAGAGGAGAAACAGACCTGAAGACTGAAAATAAACCTGAGGTTTTGGATGAAACATAATCCTCAGCATGGGATGCAAAAGGTGACTTTCCTGACAAGTGCTACCCAAATTCCTAATAGGTTTCTGTATGTAACGCCATCGCATTTCATCCTGACATAATCTTAATTAGTCTTAGTTCTACTGCAGAGAAGCCTACTGAGGCAGTTAGCACCATATAATTAATCAGATATTTTGCACGCATCACAGCAACCAACAGTGTCAACTTACTGATGTGAGTTAATACAAACAGAAATCAACCCTGCCTTTCCCTTTCACACGAACTAAAACCATGTGGCATGGACTGAACATATGACTATTTCTTCTACACACTGCCTAACGTCCTTTCTTCCCTTAGCAGCCATTTCCTAATGCATCATTACTCTCTGCAAAGTATAATTTATTTTTTCTGCTGGTACTAGGAGTAGAACATGCAATTTGATATTTCTCTTAAATTTCAGTTTCTTCACAGAAGAATAAGTCCAGCAACTGAAATAAGCAATGATAAGACATAATTCTTGCTGCTGGAATTCATAAATCTCACATTTTATTTTTCTTTCTGTGTGCTTTAGCAGTTTTTAAGAAACTGAACTTTGCACCTGCATATAAACATGCATTTGAGGGCACAATCTGCATCATTCAGTCATCTCATAGCAACAGAAAATAATGTACTTACAAATATAAACATATACAACTCACTGGATTAAAAGCTTCACCACCTATCTATGTAATTGTACATCTTAACTTTATTCTATTGTTTGAGATTTATCTTCTGTCTTCATTGCAGGAGCCAAACATCACAGCATTGTGCCTAATGTCACCAAGGAGGAAACCATATGATTATATGATTTGACGGCAAAGAAGAAAAAAGCCACTGCTTATGGAAAGTAATTTTCTAAAGCTCATTCTCCATTCTCCTAAGCTTAAACTGAAATAGTTCAATAAGCAGTATAAAACCACATGAAGGTTTATTCAGTTTTGTATGGCATCTGTAATATGCTGTGGTATTTATTAATAGTAAATGCAACGTTTAATATATGGCAGCGTTTTGCTTCAGCAGAACACTGTGAAACTACTTGCGAGAACAATTTTGTCCATAACTAATACTTAACATAAGAAAAAGTAGTCTAATGTTTCACGATTTCTCAGATTCTCAGAACAAAACAGTGAGATAATAATCTTCACAGAAAGGCAGCATTAAAATGATAGTTTATTTCAGGAACTGCCAGTAAACTGCTTAACACCTTCTCTCTACAGTGTTTGTGCCCCAAAGCAGTTAAGTATCTAAGATAGGAATTATTAAAATCGTGACAGCTCTAGTGTTTTCATTTCCAATGGTATCTCAGCACAGGAACACACGCAGCTTATTCACTACCTGACACAAGGAATCATTCAGCATTATTATTGTTCAACTTCTGGGAATGTTTTTTTTGTGTTTGAAGGCCACAAGAAATTAAGCAGCCTACTGAAATTGCCAAATGTTTCAGGGGCTGTCATCCACTGTTACTGCTCATCATACAGAGGAATCTGATGTCTGTTTCTCAGTATCTAATTGCCCTGCCTCTCTCTGCTATATGAATCTCCTTAATTTATTCTAATGCTGGAAGAATACAACAATTATAACTCTGATAAGACTGCCACCAAGTTTGTTTTAACCCAACAGTTAGTAACTGAAGATAATCAGCTGTTGATTTTTGTTCTTGTTTTAGCGGATGGCAAATATGTTATCAAACAACAGCAACGAGGATAAATGTATAGGAAAGAAAGATAAGACGTGCTAAGTTTATCCCAAACAACTCAAAGCCCACCATCAAGCTACCTATATGCACTAAGGCCTCTTCCATGCTGAAGACACAGCTGTCCTTTATCTTCTAGTTCTCAGCTACATTTTGTAATCCTACAGTCACCTGCACTGCCATCTAATTCAGACTTCGCACTCCGACACTTCGTCTGAAGGTCTGACGTAACACACGGCTAGCGTTACAGGCATGTCGGCCACAGAAGGTTCACAACGTGATTTTGATTAGTAATGGTAAGATTGTGAGTAACGTGAATGGCAAGTCAAGACAAGGGGCAGAAGGCAACAGAGGTAAAGTCAGATTCCTGGGGCTAATTTCGCCAGCAAGAGCTCTGGTTTAACCTGTGATTAAAATTTTAGTACGAACAAGGTAAAATGAAGCCTAGACACAACCTAAACCGTTCCAAAGGGATTAGTCATCATAATAAGCTTATGATTAGACTGTGTCTACCTAAAGATTATACACACTGAGAATTGTAGAAAAATGCAAGTCTGACTCCGTGAGTCTTCCCTCATGACTTCCGTTACCATCTCAGTTAGTCTGACAGTCATATCATCCAGACAAGTTCTAGTGAAACTCTCACTGGTTTGGATGATTTTTCCAGTCTGAAGTGCCAAATTTCTCATTAGGCATGATCTTGGATGACCGATGCATCTCTTTGCAAAGCAAACTTTATTAGCCTTAATCATGGTGCGTTTCATCAGTCATCGAACATACGACATTTTACTCTACCACATGCTGTGAGTTTATTGCATTTGGTCACATCAAACCTTTCTTACTCAGACAAATGGCATATTACCAGGAGCTTTCATTTAAAAGTAGACTAAGCTAGAAATATGGATGTTTGGGTAGTGGTTTTAAAAGATATAAAAACTAACGGCATTCTAAACTTCTCCATACTTTCTTACTTGATCTCATAGCTAGCGATTTTCAATGCTAGAAATATTTGATACCTCCAAATCACTCAGAAAATTCTGAACTCCTGGCATTCACCTAAAATCAGACTAAAAATTACCTTCTTTCAACATATGGTATCTCCTTAGTTGGGTGATGCTATTAATCTCCAGTGTGAAAAGCACAGCCACTGAAGACTTGATCTTTATCAGTATGCAGTAGCCTAGGGCACCAGAACTCTGTCATGGGAGCCAGGAATGGAGCCTAAGCTTCTTTGGCCCTAGCCAGACCCCTTTGATGTGGAGGTGGTCTTGGAGTTGTTAATCATAAAGCTCGTGAGATGGGCAGTGGCACATCTATCTGATGAAAAAAAATGCTACCCAGGTGAAATCTGTAACCAAGCAAAATTCTGTACACTCAGAGCAGGTGGCAACAGCTGCTCCACAGAAATGTGCAAGATTCCTCACAGAAAATGGTTTCTGATGCTTGGATCTCCTTTTGACAAGATTTGCTACCTTTGGTGCTTCTTAGCAGTTAACAATTGGTTTAAGCGTGGAAACGCTGGTTTTAGTATGTTTTCATTTAGTAAAACATATCTCTATTCATTCTTGTCATGTATCTAAATTCATCTCCGGATATCCATGTGACATATCTAGAGCACCTTTTCTCCAGCAGAGCCCTAAAGCATCTCATGCATTATATTCTTAGAACGTTATTGATGCCTAGACATCTCCAGAGCGTATCTTAGCATGGATTGTCTTTGCCCAGTGAGAGGAGAAATGCACATTTATGTAAAGTGGTGTGGGATTTGCAATGTCACGCACAGTGGAAGGTCTTGCTTAACAGCCCACTTCATAGTGCCGACTTTATTTATTTTGCAAAAAACCTGGCAAGCGTTGAGACTATGGTGCCATGGAAACTAGGTATTCCAAATTGAATGTTTATACTGCTAACACTATCCTCCAGACAATCTCTTTACAAATGATCAGTAATGTGAAGATGCCTTCTTTTTATTTATCCATTTCTTCAGATTAAGTTTGTTTTCTAGGACTGTCAGAATGAGCTACCTGCATCCAGAAGAAAATTGGGATGGCCCGCACATACTGTTTCTGGTAATACTTATAGCAAGTTATGAAACAGAAAAATCACTTAAAATGATTGTGCTTACCCCGTTCTGTGTCATAGAGGTACACAAACTTTTCCCACTTGTAATGAGTCAAGAGACTCAAGATGGCCCCTTTCAATGCTGGCCGCATCTGGATGACAAATTGCACATCTGCATCTGTTGGGAAGCTGGGTGTGATGAAGGACGTGTGAAGGGCTCCACAAAATGAGGTCAGTGTGTTCATTGACATCTGGTCATAGAATCCAAAGATGGCATAAACTCCTCTGGAAAACTGTGAACAGACTAACAAAGACAGACAGAGGTGTTAAAATCTGACATACGCAAACAAACTTTCAAAGTCTATTCGAAGTAAGCCTTCTAAGCAATCCTGAAATTATTCTGTACGACACAGCAGATGGAATTAATTCATGAGACAATATATACTAATTTCAGTGTAGCTGTGAGTTATACCAACTTTCTCACAACTAAACTGGCCTGAGCACATTTTTGATTGCAATTTGTCCTGGCATATTGATATAATCCACTAATCTCTCGATATTCTTTAAAAACAAACATGGCATTACATTGCTTGTCTGTAAAATACCTTCCCTCCCTTGAGTAGCACCTTGAGAGCTCTGTTAGCAGCTACATAACAAATGTCAGTTCTGCCTAAAAGTCAAAACGTTAAGATGTAGCTTTCCCTGGTATCCCACCTTGATTCAGATCTAAGTCAAAGAAATCTGGATGTTTTATTTCTTTATAGTGGCAACTCTGAAATCTCTGTATGAAATCTGGGTGTGGTCTTTTTCAGTGAGAAATGATGGTGGTTTCTTAACCGAGTGTTAAAACCTTTCAGAAGCAATTTGGAAAGTGTATGGCTCATTAACGACAACACAAATGAACACATATTATTGCTTCGTGGGATGAAAGTTGATATCTCTTAACCTGGAGGTTTTTAGTCATTAGCCATCCTGGTGTCTTGAGGAACTCATCCAGGACAAGAAAATACTCAAAATGCAGTCAAAAGTGTTTTGTTTCACATGCACTTACCTGTGGAAACACTTCATTTCCCATACTTTACAGAGATTGAACAACGACTATTTTGGAAAAATATGAAAGTATTTCAATTTATAAATGTGGTCAACTTCATGGGAGTTGCAGGGAAAAGAGTTTTCTTTGTTGTTCAGCTCTGTAGGAACAGAGCAGACTTCTTGTGACCCTGGGTTCTTTCCATGGAGGGCGACTGCATCAGGAAGAGTGAGGGAGCCCGATACGTGAGACGGTGGGGCTCTGGTCCGTAATAAAGATTGTACAACTGAAACACACTACAGCATAGCAGCGCTTCTAAATCAAAACATGTCTGGACTGAGATGAGCAAGTCCCACTCGTAACAAAAACGAGTTTCCCAGAAAAATGTTCATTCAACATTCACAATATCGCTTGTCAAGAACTAGATTTAACAACAATTTTCAACTAGCCCCATTAACCACTTTTGCCAGAATGCTGCGTATTTAACTTTGCAAAAAGCAATGGTAAGTAATTACCGATAAAGAAGGCATGACTTCTACGCAGAAATACACAGCATCGTTACTTCTGGAAGTACTATCATGAAACATTTCCTACCATAAATGCTACCATTCAGAATCACTAAAGCCTGTTAAAGTAATTTTAAAAAGGCTTCTCCACAATATCAGCTCATTGACAAAGCATCATGGATAACACCTCAAATAGGCAGTCAGGTGTGAAAATTCAATTTTCTTCCTGGAGATCCAGATGCAAAAATAGAAATGCTATTAAGGAATTTCTTTAAGTGTTTAAGTCACTGTAACAGGACATGACCAGTTGTGGATACCAGCAGCAAATAAGAGCTGGTATAGACAGAAGAGAGATGAACATAAGGCACAGAAAGGGAATAAGTAGTGATTTCCGAAAGAAGTTTGCAGAAGTTCTCAACCACAGTAAAGAAAAGATATAAAAGAAGTTATAATACAGCAAGAACTTATTCCCAGAGGCATGACTGAGGGAATTAAATACACTGTTTCAAAAGGCATTTTGTTAAACTATATACCAGCAGGATATAAAGTAGAAAAGCTACCATAAAAATTATCTGCTGAAGTAACAAATAAAAGGCACTAACTTACAGGTGAAAAAAAGGGAAAAATAAAGACTACATTAGAAATTCTGGCAGTCTCCAAATAATCTCAATGGCGTGTAAGCCCTCTAATTCCATGAGAATAATCACGGAAGTGGGGCCAGCAGAGCTGAGTGTCCTCGCATCTGCTGAGTCAGTACCTCACAGATCAGGCTTCTTTTACATATTTATTAATGGCCTAGTTTACCAGTTTTTGATGTAGATTCTGTACCACAGAGAAAGCAGAGAAGAACAAGTATTCCAGGAAACATCCCTTCTTGCAATGCAAACAAGACATATCCTCAAATGTCTCCTGACCCTAACACCCCAGAATAATTCGAGCTATCCTTGGTTCACCCCTTACATGTTATCAGGTATAAGGCTCAGGAATACTTTTGAACTGTGACTCCACTGAAATGGCTCAGATTTACAGGGACACAGTATCTGAAAAAAGTCACAAGAGGGCTCAGAAAACCTACCGTGCTATCTAAGCGCAGGACTATAATGAAGAATACAGATTAGCTCTTACTGGGACTGCCAGTTCCTACATCCCATAGAGTCAGCAGAGAGAACAGGAGCAGTGCTAAAGGTAACCAACAGCGGCTGGCTCCAGTCTGGTTTGTGTTTTTTCTTGTCCTTAGAGATAGAGCACCAAGGCATTGTGGCCACCACTTTGAAAATGGTTCAAAGACTTTGTCCTCTGGACAGAATTCTGTCTTGCATGGCTATTTTAAAACACTCAATTAAGGTTTATCTATTTTCATAGCACTTTGTGCTCATTTATGCAAAGAGCTCGTTCTCAATTTGTGAGTAATCCAAGAAAAAAATCAGTCTGTGAACAACCTGACCGTAAGCAGGACCTTCTCCAAACAATATCTAATAGTCAACACGGAGCTGCTGCTTGCATGGAGCATCCCAGTGTAGGTGAGAGCTTCTGATTTGGTCTTTCAGATATCTGCAACTTTTTTCCCTTAAAAATTCTGGAGGATCACCAACAGCATCTTCTAACAAGTGCACCTCCCTGCCCACTCTCATTTCCCCTGATTGAGGTTTGTATTCATTGCAACTCTTTAACACTTTTATAGACTATCTGTCTTAGTTTCAAAAAATCTTCATCTCTTAAGCTCCACTGCTTATTTCTTACAGCTTATTCTTCTTGACTATCTATTCTGCATGCACTGTAGGGTGCCAATTCAATTTTACTGGCTCATTTAAAAGAGAAATAAACCTTTGTTTTTATAAGAAGGAGTTAGAAGGCCAATGATCTTAGTCCTCAATGTCCATTTGTATTTTGAACTCACAATTCTGTTACAGTTCTGTAGCATTAGGTCTTTTGATTAGCTTGTGACCTAACCTCCTATGTGATCAGATGAACCTACTGAACATCCATGAACTCATAGCCATATTGTTACTTGTTTTCCAAAAGAAACCCATATAACTATGTTCATTTTAATTACATTATTATTCTAACAGCACTGAGCCATAAGCAAAATTCAAAAAAAGCTAACTAAACCTTAGCTTTAAGCTCTTTTTACAAACTACTTTCTATTGACAATTAGAACAATCCTCATGTTTGAGTAAGAATTTTGGTATTTTTTCCTTAATTGATCACAGTTGATTTATGTTTGTTTTTCCCTATTTCAAAGATGCAGATGGTCAGACACACACTTTGGCTGTTAAAGAAGTGATTTGGACAAATTCTGATGGAACCTCATTCCTCCAAAAATAAAAAAAAAGCCTGTTCTTGATTATAGTTATTAACACTGTGGATGTGCATCTGTTTCCAAGGACAACACATAACCAAGTTGCTTTATAACCTTATCTGAAAAAGTTGTAACCTCCACTAAGAAGGGACAGAGGTGCCGAGCAGCAGTCATCCAACGGGAGATCATAATAAGCTGTTATTTTGGCATTAGGTACAAGGTGAGTATTTATTAACAGAAACCTAACCCTGGGCTTGTTGTCAGAGTAAGTAAAGCTGCCACATGCCATCATTTTCAGGGGAGGAGGGATGGTATGACAGAAGCCTGTGAATTCCCAAGCACGTCAAGAGAAGATAAGGAACGTTCAGGTCATGACAGACCGGTGTTTCCTGCCAAGGAAGAAAAATGCTCAGAGCCAGAGTGATCACAGTGGTAAGCACAATTTGCCTTTTTTTTTTTTTTTTTTAAAAAAGGCAACCAAAAAACCCAACTCAAACCCAAATAAATAAATAAAAATCTTTGTTTCCGTACTGAACAGCAGCTGAGCCACCCTAAACATCAGTGTGACTCAATGAACCCCAGCCTTCTGTTTTACTAACAGTTCCATCCTCCCTCCAGTCAAATCAGCCCCACCACAGAAACTTGCTAAGATTAACCAGATGTGATTTTTTTCACATAGACCTCAGGAAGGCTCCAGGCCAGAATCTCAAAAGATGCCCCATTTCACACAAGTTATTAGATGTTTTGTGTCTTTTTAAAATTTATTTTTTGCTTTCTAATGGTATTTAGTTCTTCTACCTTTTAGTGACTGGGAGCATTCCTGACACAGCAAGGTTGTATAGGCTCTGACATTTCTACTGTCTATTGCCTGGAAGCTAAAGTCAAAACTTCTCTGACACCTTTTTTTTTTTTTTTCTTCCAGCTCTTACTATAAACAACTGAAGAATTACTAGGAACATTTCCAAGTAGGTTTGGATTTTGCTTGTTTAAAGAAAAGATGTATAAAGCCAATAAAAGAAATATGTTCATGGGTGGATCTTAATACACCGTTTCCACTACATTAGATCATTAATGACTGACTTGTAGAAGTCAGCAGGATCCTCCCAAGCGTGGCATGCAGCGCACTTCTACCCAGGGGTGTAACAGCCTGGTAGTTTTGGAGTCAGGGGTTGGAGGCTGCAATACCTCAGACACTATTCTTTCTTCATTACTGTTCGTACGGACTAGTAATTTCCCCTTTGTTCATATCAATTTCTTATAAAACAGGTCTGACAAAATTAACCCAGTCGAAGGGGCACGTAATGCCTGCCTCACTGATAGCCATACAGCTCTTTGGGATGAAAGGCGCTGCAGGAGCACAATCACATCTGACATTACTGCGCGTTGCTCGTACCAGTTCCTCAGTTTTGTGTTCTGTGTTTCCCTCAGCTGTGAAATAATTTTATTCCCTCCACTTTCCTCTGCCAATT